GGTTTCATAAACACTTGCTGGTAGTTTAGGGTAGTTTGGCTTAATGTTTGGAAACCATTGCAACCAACACTTCACCTAAATTTTAGCTGATAAGAAAATAAACAAGAATTTCTATTATTTTAAATATAACCTTCCTTAAAACAACATTAAAACACATTATTTCTAATGTAATGCAAGCTGTATGCAACATTAACTAGAGTTATCAATATCAAGTGGCAATCAAGAAAACGACAAGATGAGAAACAAGATTTAATCAAAAAGTGATGAAATAAAGGGGAATATGTGAACTATCCTCAAAGTCAAACTCCTACATTTACAGACATTAACTCCTAAGAAACATCTACAACTTTCAAACAACTACAAAGAGTCAGAGAGGGGGATCCTTTTCCAAATCCATTTCATGAATAGTCAAATCAAGCTAACTTACAATGCAACAACAGAACTAGTTACAATGAAGTATCCATGAATCAATATAATATACCAAAGAAATTTTACTTCTTAGGACAAAGTTCAAAGGTACAGGATCTTTAAAAATCAAACAGCAAATTTTAGACATAAACTTATATACTCTTTTGTAATCTCTCTTTTAACACTTACTTGACTCCTCATAAAATGTTGAAGGAGACTCTAAAAAGGGGTGCAATAAAACCATTAAAAGGTGGATTTATCAACTGATAACCGCAAAATCAAGATGATAAGCAAACATTTAACTAAGATAACTATGAACATATGTATCTAGAAAAATATCATCAATGACAAGAAACAATACCCCAAAACAGCCTCTTGTTTGTGTGAACACATATTACAACTCAACGAGGAAAAATACAAGAGAAATTTTACCCCAGTGGGACATACCTGTTTTTTTTATCTTTTAAAATATCAATAAATTATACAAAGTTATGGTTTACATAAAACTTAATCCACTATCTAATTTCATCATAAACTGGAATATTCAACTAAGCTTTAAAAAAATATTTCTTCTCCATGATCAATAACAAAATTACAATTACAATATTGTGAAGTAGAATGCTGCATAACAGCTTAATAAACATACAATAGTGATTTTTTCTTAGAAATGCAATTCAGAGGTACTAATGACAAAGGAGTACCTTAACCCATTTGCGCCGGGTAAAAATGAACAAAAAATGGGGAAAATGCTGTGCCTCATTTTTTTTATTTTTTAATGAAATGTCTCTACACTAGATGGCTCTGCCTTACCTGTTTTCACCTTTACTTGAATTGGCAAGAAAATGTATTTTTACTAGTGCTATGAATATCGATGGTTATTTTCATTATAAACATTATAATTACTATAATGTTATAAACATTAGTAACAGCAAAATAAGATAACGTAAGATATTTTCGTAAATTAAAGGAAAGGGTAAACAGGCGAGACATGCAGTACAAGTACAAGTGTAGCCATCTATGTGTAAAAACAATTAAACAAGTAAACTCACAGTGGGCACGTCAAGTATACGTGACACCCAGCGCGAATGGGTTAAAATACTAGACTAATTTTTTTGTGACCAATTGACAATCAGTTCCACAGTGCAAAAGCTAAGGGACCACCCCATGAAGAGTTTTTACCCCGTCACAATTAACCCAATGCCGCCATGGGAAATGAACAAAAAATGGGGAAAATGTTGTGCCTATTTTCTATACTTTTTTGTTAAATGTCTACCCATAGATGGCTCTGTTAGCGCCTGATTTGAAATGGCCGGAAAAACGTATTTTTCACTAGTGCCATGAATAGCGATGGCGTTATTTTTATCATAAACATAATTTTTATAATGTTTTTTAACATTAGTAACAGCAAAATAAGATAACGTAAAATATTTTGTAAATCAAAGAAAAGGGTGAGACAGGCGGTACTCGTAACTGGCTCATTGGTGATTTTGTACAAGTGTAGCCATCTATGTGTAAAAACAATCCAACAAGTAATCTCACAGTGGACATGGCATGGCATGCCCGTCGGCAATGGGTTAAGCTAAGGATTTCATACTCATACAATCCTGGTAAATTACCCCTATGAATATTATGTCCCAACTCCATCCCCTTCTTCAGGTAACAAGCATAAAACTGCAAACCTCCAGTGCAGCCATTTCCCTAATGATAGTACTACTTCCAAAATGTTATGTGCACATTTTTGAACATGTGCATATGTGTATGTATGCCTAAGTATATGTAAATGTGTAAGTATATGTACATGTGTGTATGTATATATATGTGAGATACATATATATACAGAATATAGTGAGAGATAGAGTGTTAAGTATGAGGGTTGCGGGGAGAGAAACAACATAGTTGGGACAGTAGAGATAGATAGAGATAGAGAGATGATCGATATAGAGAGTAATATATATGATAGTATAGATGCTATAATAATATATTAATGGGGGTGGCGTGTGTGTGTGTGTGTGTTTGTGTGGGTGTGTTTGGTGGTGGGGTTTGGGGGGGGTGTGGTGTGTGGTGTGTGTGTGGGGGGGGTGTGTGGTGTGTGTGTTGTGGGGGTTGGTGTGGGTGCGTGGGGGGTGGGACGGCGGGGCCCTGAATATTGTAATGAGCGATAGATATATTATAGATATGAGGAGAGAGGAGAGACGATCCTTAGAGATATATATATTATAGCCAGATATATAACATAATAGACAGATTATACAGATATATAGCGATATATATACAGATAGAGAGAGATAGATAGGACAGAGATTAGGAGGAGAGTAGATGACATAGATAATATTAGACGAGATATGACATATATATATGATAGATACAGATATATATATATACGATAGGAGAGTATAGAGATATACAATATAGATTCGAGAACAGTAGATAGATATAGATAGTAGACAGTGATATAGTATTGAGACATAGAATAGACTATATAGATATATAAGTATAGATATAGATATATATATATATATTATTACAGATATATAGAGTATAAATATATATATAGATAAGACATATATATATATACATATATAGAGATATACAATATATATCTATATACGATTCTAGAGATGCTAGATACATAGTAGAGATATATAATAATATATATAGATAGGGTAAATATATTATATATAGATATATATATAGATATAACATAATAGTATATATATATATTCTACATAGTAGATAGACATATATTAATACAGAGCTATATACACTTAGATAGATAACAGATATATTGACATATATATATATATATATATGTACATAGAGAATACGAAGAATAGATATGATACAGTATTGATATAGAGAGATATAATACTAGAGATACATATAGAAGATATATAGACAGAGATACAAAATATATATATACATCTTCTATAGAGATATATACATAGATATGATGATTATATTACATATATATATATATAGATACATGATATATAGAGTTACATAGATTACATACATACATAGAATATTAAGATATAGAGTAGACAAGATATTACATATGGAGAGAGAGACATAGTAGATAGAGATGAATATAGAGAGTGATAGATAAGATATATATATATATTATAGATATATATATAGTACATTGTATAGATATATATATATAGAGGAGATATATAATATATATGAGAATATATATATAGAGACATAATGTATAGATATACATATGGATAGATATATAGAGTAGAAATAAGATAGTAGTATAGTAATATATATATATATATATTATATATATATATATTAATTTATCGATATATATAATGTATATATATACTATATGGTATATAATGTTATATAATATATGTATATATATATAAGTATAGATGATACTATATATAACTATATATATATATATATATAGATATAGATATATGTATATTATATTTATATATATAATATATATATATCTATATATATAATATATATAGATATATAATATCTATAATGATATATAGATATATAGATATAGTATATATATAGATGATATATCATATATAGGATATTATGTATATATGAGATATATATCCTATATATGTATATATTATTATATAAGATATGTATATATATATGTATATTATGTATATATATATAGGTATAGATGTAATATATATAATGGACATATGTATAGATATATAATATATAGATATATATATATATATATATATATATATATATATATATGTTATATATATTTATGTTGATATGTTTTATATTATATATAGATATATGTTATATATATGTATATATATGTATTATATATATGGTATATATATATATATATATTATATATATATATAAATTATTATATATATATATAGACACATATATTATATATATCTATATAGTCTATATACACATATATATATAATATATATATATATATATAGTATAATTATATGTATATATATATGTATATATAGATCTATAATATATATATATATAGTCTATATATATATATATATATAGATATACACATATATATATATCATATATATATATATATACCACATATATAAGATATAGAGTATATATATAATATATATATACACATATATATATATACAAGATATATATATTATATATCATATATTTATATTATATATATACACATATATATATTATATATATAAGATATATAGGATATATCTATATATATATATATATATATATATATATAATATATACACACATATTATATAGATATATTATATATTATATACACCATATATATATATATATTATAGATATATAGAGATATATATATATATATATATATAATATACACTAGATATATAATTACACATATA